TTCCAGTGGGATAATGGTTTTGTGCTTTGATTATGAAAGCCCTTTATCTTCTAGAGATACATGCTAAAGTATTTACATGTTGAGATATCTATCTATCTATCTATCTATCTATCTATATCTATATCTCATGTCTGGGATTCACTCAAAATAATTTGGAAGGTGAGAGGGGAAAGTAAGGGTATAGATGAAACAAGTTGATAACTATTTAAGCCAGATGATGCTTATTAGCTGAGTGGGTGACCTTGTGCATGTTACTTAACCTGGCAAGCCTCAATTTCTTCATTTGTAAAATGAAGGATACGTAACCTTACAGGATTATTGTAAGAGAAGAAAAAAATGCAAATAATATGTGTAGCACAGTACCTGTTACATAGTAAGTGCTTAAAAAATGGAAGCCTTTGTTAACAACTAACAACTGAATGCCACTGTTTGACCCTTGGCATATGTGATGAATTTTCCTTCAAAGATGAAAGAGACTCATTAAAACCTAGTGTCTTAGCATTCATTTAGTGCGAAGTTGTGTAGCAGAAAACATGATTAAACATACAAGGATTCAAAATCTGACTTTGGCATTTAACCAAATGCTCTCTGAGCCTCAGTTCCCTATTCTGTAAAATGGAGGTCATTATATACTTTGTAGAGTGGAAGAAACTGGGAATAATGTTTTAATATACATGAGATAGTGTGTGTCAATCCCTCAGTGCAGTGCCTGGGTCACAACAGTTATTCAATTAAATAGTCACTTTTGTTATACTCCCTGTGTAACCACCCAGCATATAATCATCCACCCAAATAGCCCGACCCATGGATGACAGACACCACCCCTGCCTAATTCTTCTTTTTGATAATTTCTTTTTTTCTCCATTTTCCTCTTCTTCCCATCAGTTGATTTATGAAGACTGTATGGATCTGATCGCAAAGCTACCTTGTGTTGCAGCAAAGATCTACCGGAATCTCTACCGGGAGGGCAGCAGTATTGGGGCCATTGATTCTAAGCTGGACTGGTCCCACAATTTCACCAACATGTTAGGCTATACTGATGCTCAGTTCACGGAGCTCATGCGCTTGTACCTCACCATCCACAGGTGAGGGAGACCCAGCAACCGTAGCCACCAGGTGCCTGGATTGGTTGTGAATATTAAGAAAAGCTCCTTAACATTCTCATCTTCTGGGAACAGGTAGTGGGCAGCAAGGAGATGGAAACACAGCATAAGAGATGATACAAGGCAAAAAAGGGGTTCAGTTGGAAGGTTAGGAGGTCTAGGGAAATTACCATAACTGCCCTAAGATCATACTTCTAGCCAGGAAGAGGTACTAGCTGCTCACATTGGATAGGTCCGTCAGCTTTCCAGGAGCTCCCTCTTCTGGCCATTGCTATTAAAGTTGGGGTGAGAGTCAGGGAGCTTGGCACAGCAGCATCATCAACCAGTCACCTCTCCAGCCCTGTGGATTAGTGAACAAAGGCTGGTAGTAAGATTGGGGCATCTCTTACAAGAGCTTATGTAGAAATGACTGGCTGTAGGCTGGGTGAGCCCATAACTAGGCTAGTGTGTGACCATAAGAGAACAGCAAGGTCTGTGTTCCCATAATCTATGCCTTCTTTCTCCTTTCTCTCGGCCTTGATTCTCTTTTCTTACTTCCCCACAGCGACCATGAGGGTGGCAATGTAAGTGCCCATACCAGCCACTTGGTGGGCAGTGCCCTTTCGGACCCCTACCTGTCCTTTGCAGCTGCCATGAACGGGCTGGCAGGGCCCCTCCATGGACTGGCAAATCAGGTAAGGCTACTCTTTTTCTTTTCCTGCTCCATGTTTTTCTTACTCCCATGCTGTGTCTGATCCTGTCATTCTCTCCCGGCATACGCATTGACACTCTTTTATTCTCTAAACCTTACTCACAGGAAGTACTTGTTTGGCTGACACAACTACAGAAGGAAGTTGGCAAGGATGTGTCAGATGAGAAGTTACGTGACTACATCTGGAACACACTCAACTCAGGACGGGTAAGCAGAGATGCTGAGCAGCTAGGAGAGAAGCCAAGACTCAGGTTCTGTAATTTGGAAGAATGAAGGAGAAAAGAATGAAATAACTCCCTAAATTACAGAGGGAGATTTTTTTTTTCCCATTTGCCTACCCAGAAGAATTCAGAAGAGATAAGAATCTCTGAGACTACAACTGGCTTTTCCCCTCATTCTTTACAGGTTGTCCCAGGCTATGGCCATGCAGTGCTAAGGAAGACTGATCCACGATATACCTGTCAACGAGAGTTTGCTCTGAAACACCTGCCTCATGACCCCATGTTTAAGCTGGTTGCTCAGCTGTACAAGATTGTGCCCAATGTCCTCCTAGAGCAGGGCAAGGCCAAGAATCCTTGGCCCAATGTAGATGCTCACAGTGGGGTGCTGCTCCAGGTGAGTCCTCCCTTCCCGGCTTTCTCTCATTTATACCAAACCCTACTGTTCTCTACCGTGCACAGAGTTAACTCCCTAGTCAGAGCAAGGACTCTCACACCTCCTTCCTTCCTTTTTTGATAAAGTTGCCTTTGTTAAGGGGTGTGGGGGAGGGTACGGGCTGGAGGAAAGGGGTGCTCTCTCTTCAGAATCCAATTGCTATACTTTTCCCAATGTCATTTCTACTGAAGGCTAACTAGTTTAAGGTTTTTATCACCCTGGGCTTGTACATGCCACTATCTGTAGGCCTTTAACAAAACCTGTTTCTCTTTACCTTACAGTACTATGGAATGACGGAGATGAATTACTACACAGTCCTGTTTGGGGTATCGCGGGCACTGGGTGTATTAGCACAACTCATCTGGAGCCGAGCCCTGGGCTTCCCTCTAGAGAGGCCCAAGTCCATGAGCACTGAAGGTCTGATAAAATTTGTGGACTCTAAGTCAGGGTGAAACTGGAGGCTAGGAGGAAACTAACTACCACAAAGTGAGGGAGCTTAATTTAAAAAGTATACTTTTGTTTCAGGGGGCTTTTAAAGACTTAAGATTAAATTGTGTCTGAGGCACTGATGATAAGTTTGAGTTTAAAATATAAATTAAGATTTTAAAAAATGAAAAGTGACCCTTCTTCCCTAACCACCTCTTTCCCTTGCCTGGTATGAGTTGCCCATCAACTGTTGATGACCAGGACTAATGCATGTGGTATGCGTTAGGTTTGCCACCCCCTAGTCTCCAGAGAGAGAATCTGACTCCTATTTCCCTGGGTCAAAGCTGGTTGCAGAGAATCTGCTGTCACTTCAGAGCTTTTGGTTCTATTCTGCCCACCCTTTAATAGGCCAGCAAACCAGGACTCTGCCCCTTCTGTTTCCATAGGAATCATGTTGGATCGTCAGCTGTACCAAGCCCCATTAACCTCCCATGCACACAGACACTTCCAAGCAAGACCTATTGGTTATGCTTTGGCTTTTTTTTTTTTTAATGCTACCACATGATCTTTATAAAGGCCATGGCATTTGTTGTGACTGGCACCCAGTGTTTGATTTTTATTTATCTTTTTAAAGTTATCCCATTAAAACTAAGATCTGGGAGTGTTTTGTTGCCCACTACTTAAACACTCACCTCCTTCCAGATTTTCTATACCTGCTGCACCTCAAGCCGAGGTTGCTCTGGACTGTCCCCTCTTGGTCACTGCTAGAGGCCTCTTTCACGGGTTGTATATAGCACTGTCTGATCTGTGGTCTTTCCTAGTCATTTGGATTTATCAGTGCTTAACATAAACTAAGCTTTTTACTTCCACAGAACACAAACCACTACCCTTTGGCTTTTTTCCCCTTTAACATGCTATGGGCTATAGAATAGAGACTTGGGGATGACTGACATTTCTTCCCAGAGGTGCTAGCACCTCTTTCTGAACAGGGAAATGATTTAAGATTGGACATGGTCTCCTTTGAATATCAAGTACTGGGACTGAGGGCATTAAAAATAGTAAACCTCCCTCCTCATCCCCTGCCACAAGCAGATATCCCTTTATTTATCAGGGTCCTTATCCTGCACCTTCCCCAAGAGCTCACAGTACAGTGTTTGTTTTTAGAAGCCCCATATGCACAGGTTTCCAATGACTCAGAATGCTCTACTGCCTTTTCTTTTTAAGAAAGGATTGAAATACACTCCTGCTGTGCCCCTTTCCTCCCTCGCAACTCCTGCCTGTGTTTGTGTGGATCCCTAATCCCCAGAACCACGCTGTTGAGATGGATAATACTGTCTGTAAAACCCTGGGTAACTGTCAAGTCATAATGCAGACTTCAGGTTGTTCTCTATAAAATACAAAATAAATGTTTTTATTAACAATGCTTGAGCCTATTAAATAAGGTCTGAAAGAGTCTCTATTATGAGGTAAGGAATCTGGCTATATCCTGTGTATCCCTTTATTTTGAGGCAGGTTTGGCATTCATTTACCCTAATTAGAAGACAGGCTCCCTGTGAGATTTCCAAAGGTGATTTTTGTCTTTCTTCAAGGTTAGAAGTCTTTGACCTTTAGCCCCCATCCTTCCTAAATTTGTTGTAAGGTAGAAGCCTCAACGACTAGAGCTGAGACTTCACAACTGCTTATGTGACTGATCCAAGGAAGCTAGTCCAGCCCACTGGGTGAAAGGTACAAACGATACCAAGGGCAAACAGGATAGGACTGCTGGCTCAGGATCTGCACCTCTAGAGCGCTCGGGTACTTCACTGAGTGCCTATTCTTTGCAGCCTCCGTTAAGGAGACCCCCCAAAATAAGAGGTAGTCCTGTGGGCATCAGTTATATAGGAGGTCTGAGACCAGATTGCTCTGTCCTGAGAATCCTGCAACAACTGACCTTCTGAAAAAGTCTATAAATAGGCAAGGGAGTGGGTACTAGGTCCTGGCTTGTAGAATGTGCTACTATAGTTAGCAGGGACATTATGTCCAAGAGGCCTTCTTGCACCTTCACTCCCCTAGGGAAGGAAGCCATGACTTTTCTTCTCTGCTATATCTACATCATTCCCCCCCAAAAAACAATATAAAAAGCCAAATTCACACTGTCATAACTTATTTATTGAAATTTTATAAAAACTCAGGCCAAGTGGAAGAATAAGGTACAACCCAAGAGTACAACTGTTCAGTGTTTTTTGCTCCTTGCCCCTGTGGCACTGGTGGTAAGAAAGCCCTTCACTTTCCACTATCCAGGCAGCATGGAAATACTCTTAAAGTGAGGTCATATGGATTTCAAGCTGGGGCCAGATTTCGGGCATCTCCTGAGGCTTTCAGGCAGGCAGAGTTATTGACCACCCAACAGCTCTCTGTCAGAGGAAAGAGCTCAATGAATTCAGTCCTTAAAAAGTTGCTGTCTTTCCCTGGTCACACACTAAGGCACTTTGACAAGAGCTGAGATAACTGTGTAGTCCTGATTATAATTCAGTGTGAGAAGGTTGCAGGCATCAAGCATACAGGGCTCTCAGGATGAGCCTGACCATTTCCAAGGCATTTCTCCTTTCCATACCTCCCTGCCTTTTCTTTCTCCCAGCATTTCCAGCCAGCTTAGAGCCCAGTGTCTGGGGAATTGAGAGGGAGAATAGTATTATGAACACAGATTCTTCTCTCAGATTAGAGCAGGAGCCAAATGAAATAAATAAGAGAACTGGGTGGGAAGGGAGAGGAGAGGAGAGGCTAGGGAACAATCCTTTGCCTCAAGTCTGGTGCACCTCATGGAACATCATTTCACGGGGGATGATTGTTTCTGGACCAAACTTGGTTGCTGCCCGGCGCTCGAAAGCAGCGACATTCTTTTTGACAACCTCATCAAAAAACATGGCGGCCAGCTTGGAGTGCAGCAGAGAACGAAATTCAAAGGAAATCTGGGGATGGGTAAGAGATGGTCAGAAACTCTTCAAGACTATGTTGGATAGTCCCTGGACAAATGCAAGGATACTATTCAGTGCCTTTTCCTCCCTCCCCCTCCATTTCCTTAATCCTCTCAAAAGCGCCAGAACTGAGTACAAAGTGCAGGTTTAATACAAGCTCAGACCTGTGAAAAGCGTCACTGACTTGGAAAATGCTAAGTGCTAGCTATGCTTTAAAGAATAACCATCACAATACTTCATTCAGTTCATCCCCTACAACCCAGTGGTAGCCCTGTGCTACACAGCCTCTTGACTCACCGAAAAGTCCACAGTGCAAGTTCGGGGATAGGCAGGAATACCAGGGCTAAACCGCCAAATGGTCTCTAAGTGGTTGAAGAGCTTGCCATCAGTGCAAACAGCCTAGAATAGGACAATTAGTTAAACAATATTACAATGGAATAAAGCCTGTATCAAGTATAGGAGACATTAAGAAGGAATAGCCATTTTCCTTTCCTTCTAATATTTTATTAGGGAAATATTTGACACATGGAGACAAAAACCATTACAAGGAAAGGCAAAATAGCCCTTAAATACAAAACTGCCAGAGAACTCAGAAAAAACTTCCTGATCAGCCCCTCCCAGATTGGCCTCACCTTGACCATGTGAGGTTTGACCATGGAAACAGCAGAAGTATAACGTTCCACGACAGGAGGAAAGCCAACCTCCAACTGGGCCTTCAGGTGACCTTTGCGGCTGGAGACCACCAAAGACTTCTTACACCAGGGCACAAATTCACGATACTCCTGGACATTGGCTACCACCTCGTACATCTCCTGCATTGAGTACCTAGGGGGAGGAATCACAGGGAGAGGCCAAGGGACTGCCATCTGGGCCAGGTTCCTCCTTGCCCAGGCACCCTCACCTCATACTTTTGCCCACTAACCATGCACCTTCAGGAGCTGGAGAACTCAAATAAGCCAGGATGAATGACTTCCCAAAAGCAAATGTGCAGATTTCCATGATGTTCATGTTACCGTAAGTTTTGAGGTTTACAGAATGCTTTTGCATTTACTATCTATTTTGATTTTAAGAGGGACCATCTTAAAACAGGTTGTCAGTTTTACTAGTGATCACGCAAGGAGTCAGATCGCAGCTTTACAAATTTCTGACAATGTGGCCTTGGATAAATTACCTGTCTCCATTATCTCCTCTGTAAGTCATAGGTAATAATAGTACCTGAGTCATAGGTTTGTTGAGGTAATCATATGAGGAAATCTATGGTAAAACACCTAAGCATCCTAACTGCCAGCAGTAGCAAGTGCTCAATAATTTAGTTCTCATCCTGCTCAGAATACATAGTTCTGCAGAGAAACAATACCCTGTTGTCTTACGTTATTGTCCAACCCTAGTCATGTTTCACTTAATGCACATGCACAGCAACCAAGAAGGGGGGAATTAAGGTTGGAAGGCAGGTAGAGGAGGATAAAGGGTCAGTAATGTAGCTGGGGAGAGGGATAGCCAAGGATGAATCTTGCCCAGTATCGCTACCTTTACTTTCTAGCCCGGACCTGGCATTTTGTTTGGAGGGAAAGGGAATGTGGAGGGATGCTGAAGAGGAGAAGATGCTCACCCCATGATCCTACGCTCCGAGTAAGCCTTTCGCTTGTTGGTGAAGGGGGCAGCAAAGCCCATGAAGGAACGGCTGGGAGGTAAGCCAGCCTCAGGCGCCAAGGCCTGGGCAGCTCGGGGCAAGAAGAGGCTGCAGGAGATCAGAACTCTAAGGCCAAAAGGAAAGGAGAGAGACATCGTCACGATTCTTTCTTTGTGTCCCTCAACCATTCCCAGGGGAAGGGGAAGAGGGGCGCATCCCAGAGGACGGTCGTCCAGACAAGTTTTCTTCTAGCACCTGCTGCAGTCGGCCAGGCTCCCTAGCCAGGCAGTCACGAGTGCGAAAGGTCGAGGGCAGCTGAGGACAGTGCCGGGGGAGGAGATGGGGAAAAGTGGGGTGCGTGCGAAGCGCCAGCTGCCTTTGGGGGCTACCCTACTGCTGAAAGCGAAGATTCTCAGGCAGCATCACAGTCCCAGGGGCCTCTTCAAGCTGCGCCCGCGAGGGGCAAGTGGGAATTTGCCTAGGTAATAACTTGCAAAAGATTTCCCCAAAGCTCTGCATTAGACCCCAGGATACGACCGCTGCCGCCCCCCGCCGCGCCTGCAGCCAGAGTTTCAATCCTCCACCGCGGAACTTCGGGGTCCTGGGCGACCCCCTTCGCTCGGGCGCGGACACCCGCACCTCCCTCTCACCTCATTGGTCCCGGCGGTC